GGCACTATGTCGGATAACGTTTCAGGGCTTTTCATAAAGTTTTCCAGTACTATATCAGTGTTCCACTGCTATTCATAAGGTTTTCACTGGCCAATATTCTGAGAAGTGGATGGCCCCTTCCTACTTCCAACTTAGTCTGGAAACTCTGCTGAAACTTGTCCACCATGGATGACTCTGCTCGTATTAGAAATACTGGTTGCATAGCCTCCAGCCTCATAGCAACACGCAAGCCACCACAGTACGACAAACTGACAGACAAAGTTGGTTCATCATTGACTATTTTCAATTTAAGGTTTTTTGTTTGTTTTTATAGTGTACCATTTTGATTCTCATTTTCTGTATATTTTAAAATTATTTTCTTGTGGTTGTCTTGGGGATTACAGTAAACAACTTAAATTTATAACTATTTAGGTTGAATAATAACAACCTAGCTTTAATAATATATAAACCTTCTGTTCATGTACATTTTCATTCATTCCCTTTTGTGTTCTTATTGTCACAGATTACCTCTTTGTATATTGTATACCTGTTAATACACATTTATAATTATTTTATGCAGTTGGCTTTTTGTGTAAGGAGAGGACAGACATTATAAACCAAACCAAAAATATAAACTACTAGCCTTTGTATTTTATCTCTGTAGTTATCTTTTCAGTGTTCTTTATTTTTTGTTATGGCTTTAAGTTAATGTCTAGTATCCTTTCATTTCAACCTGAAGCACTCCTTTTAGCATAGTATGTAGGACAGGTCTACTGGTAACAAATTGCCAGAGCTTTTGTTTATCTGGAAATGTCTTAATTTTTCTATCATTCTTGAGGAATAGGTTTGTCATTTATAGAATTTTGTTTGTTTTTTTTTTTTTCTTTCATGACTTTAAGTATATTATCCTAGTGCCTTCTGGCCTCCATGGTTTCTGAGGAAAAAATAGCATTTAATCTTATGGAAGATCCTTTGTGTATGACAGGTTGCTTCTCTCCTGTTGATTTCAAAATTCTTGCTTTGTTTTGGGTTTCAATGATTTGACAATAATATGTCTTGGTAAAGATTTCTTTGAGTTTATCCTGCTTGGAGTTTGTTGAACGCTTGGATATATAGATTCGTATCTTTATCAAATTTAGGAAGTTTTTAGTCATTGCTTTTTGAAATATTTTTTCTACCCCTTTCTCTTGCCTCTCTCTTTCTGGGACATATAATGTGTGTGTAGGTACACTGGACTTGTTCCTCAGTCTCTGTTAATTTTTCCCTCTTTGCTTTTTCTCTGTTTGACAGACTGCTGGGTAATTCCACGT